GTCAATCCGACTGTTGGGTGGGTGCCTTCCCACACTGCGCGAGTTTCATAGCGGGTTTTATTTCTACCACACTTCAACCGCACTCGTTGAAATGCGGTGTTTTTTTCTGGAATACTTTTGCTGTTTTTTTCCTGGATTTTTCTGTTGCGTGGAGTCACTTTAAGATGTTTCTTGTTCATGTTTTTGTTTTGTTGCGTTTGCACCCGAGTCAAGAGCCGCATGGCTCACAGAGTTATATACCTAATAAATGAAACTGAAAAACTGAAACAATGCGTTGCTGGGGAAAAACTCGGTTATCCGTCTACATAAAAAAACGGGATGCAAGCGCCCATGCATACTTGGACCAGACCTGAGTGACTGTTTCCATGGTGTTGTTACAAAAGAGTGGGCACGCTGCCACGGAGTAACGGCGAGCAGTTGAAGCAATGGTGCGGGATTATCCTAAAATCCCACCCACCCCCACCCACCTCCATCCACCCAGTAGTATGGATGGGTAACATCCCCGTGAGTCTGTGAACAGGTCGCGTGCTGGTGGGGTAAAATCAGTGCCGGGTTACGTAGCATATGTTATAAAGGGGCCCTAAATTTAAAAAAAATCACTTAAATATGAAAACACTAATTTTTTACTTGCATAGTAAAGTAATTGTATTTTTTTCATTTGCTATACAGCCAGATAATACGACAAATCGCTAACCTTAAACACCCAGTCGTTGATAAAAATTGAAGGCGGTATAGTACTATAGTAATAGAGCAAGTGCAGAATCACTGAACCGGAATTGATTGCTTGAAAGCATTTAGCGCGGGGCCCTTGAAAGTGCGGGGTCCGTAGCAATATGTAGCTACTTTTGCTACGAGGATAATTATCCGGCAGTGGGTAAAATATGGATACTCGTGCCTCTTCCAAGACATTTGGCCGGCATAGTAGAAGTACACCAAACACCCTCTCGAGCAGCGGTCCCCAACATTTTTGGCACCAGGGACCGGTTTCGTGGAAGACAATTTTTTCACGGACCGGGGCGGGTGGTTCATCATTGGGTCTTTCCCCCTTTTCAAAAAAGCTCTCCAGCGACGTTTGTGGTTTTTTACTCATTGTGGCTACTCGGGGTTTAGAGCTTGTGGGCTTACCAAAACTGTGACAAAGACAAGTGCGCGGTGCGGGGAAAAGGCGCGGACGGAAATGGTGAATAAAATCATGAGCGGGCCACGTGCGGACTCACCGCTCTCACCTCCTGCTGCTGTGCGGCCCGGTTCCTAACAGGCCACGGACCGGTACCAGTCCGCAGCCCGGTGGTTGGGGACCCCTGCTCTGGCCCCTGGTGGTCTTTAGTGCGGCCCCTGACGTGCCCCCCCCCCCCCACCCCTCGACCATACACAAGTAGTGAAGACGCCACAATGCAGGCGGTGTGGCAGCCCTCACACTGGTGATGTCTTATCGGCGAAAGTGGCCCCCCGTGAAAATTCGTGAAAATCACTGCTCTAGAATAAGCACTCTAGAGCTCGCCCTCGAGTGGGCCCCCCTTCCACCAGCCGTGGCGTGAGCAAGCCATTGCAGGGCTGCACCTTTACCTTGTGTTACAGAGAAGCGTCTGCGCTCAAATTTACCTGTTGTGAAAAATGCGGCACGGCTGAACCCGATGACTCCGGTGCAAGTGGTGTCTAACTTGCGCGTGTCGCGTTGACTGCTTTTAATAAACCAACGCACCGATGCCTGGTTTGTTTGTTTTGTCCGTGTGTTTGATGTGTAAACACAATTGGTGTAAATGTCTGTACGAGTGCTTGGCCGAGCAGCAGCTCACTTTAGCAAGAGCCAGCCATGCTGCCAGCAAACAATCTGTGCATCAAACCCCTGCCTCGCTGACGCGACCCAGCGAGCATTAGCTGACTTGTAGTTTTGCTGTATGCATGCGTGACTAATCAAATTAGTTGTTTTTTTTCCACCTGGCCAGTGAGCATTGTGACCTTAACCTTTTTGTATAACTTCCGTCTGTGAGAGTGCATTAGAAGTGTTCGACTGCACTGCCTTATTATCGGTGCTTCCATAAATCCGAGTTCAACTGGCACTCAACTACAATACTGTACACTGACAATTACCGTAAGCATCATTTTCATCAGCGACGATCGATCCACTGCTGGATGAAGGTCTCCTTCCCAGGCCGTCGCCACCTAGCGCAGTCCTGTGTGATAGCTGGTGACGGAGTGGACTATGACAGACCTTCACGCGGCCCAACTCTGTCGAGTGAAAATGCGCGACGAGTCCCATCAACGCGACGACCGAACGTCGATCGATATCTCCGACCAATATTCAAATATGCTCAAAATGTCCCCCCAATATATTGCTATTAAAAATTGCTGTGCTATGTAAATAAAAACAACTACAGTATTTGATCAACCTTGGCCACAATATCTGGACTTGTCTTCATATAAATCAATGCATAGATTTCTGTTTATATGATTGTGGTTATGGTTGTTCTTTATTAATGCCTAATCTCTGCCATTGCATACAATGAAACAATAAATGGTAAAAAAGTAAAAACAGAGCAGTCTAATACAATACACTATTAGACATTATTGTAAAAAATAAAGAAAAAGTCCATCCCATGTGCTAGTGATTTTTTTGATATTTTAGGCAGGAAATTCATTTTCAGATTTAGATATTTTTCTGGGTTGGGACCCCCAGACACCCTGGAAGATTTGGTCCCCCACTCCAATGTTGACTCCATGGCTACGGCCTTGTAACAATCCATCTGCCAACCTGCAGACAAGCTGATTTCATCATTCAATCTCCACCGTGGCGGGACTCTCTGATGTGTTCTCTACTTTGGATTATACACCACGGTTAGTTTCGACCTCTGGCCATCAGCCCTCCTACCTAAGCCCACTTACTTTTCCTAACAGCCAAAACGCTGTCTCTGACTTCCTATGTATTCAAGTCCATATGCTCCTGTTTCTGTCTATCGGTATAATTGCGAGCACACTGCCACCCTATGCTTATTTGTGCAAATGTTTTAGCTTTTGGTAACTATTCTTCGTCAGTGGCCATTTGTCTGATCCACGTGTCATTGTAGGTAACAACACACAACTGGTAAAAATAGTTATCTTTCGTCACATTGGTATATTGCTTTTGTTCAGTTAAAGTTTTTTCCAAAGCACTTCAACCTGCTCTCATCTTCCTCTTGATTACATCATTTATCCGCACGTGTATAACACTAAAATACGATGTGTAACTTCCACGTGCCATCATCTAAAAATACTTTTGAAAACCTGCCGTCATGTTAATACGGTCATGCTAATTTGTTTTGTAAAAAAATATATACACTCGTACTGCTGTACCCTGTGCGGTGAATATAGCATGCCGGGGTGACATTTCACACAAATACTGAACGCTTGGCAAGCGATCATTTGTAGATTTGCGTTTCGAGTATCAATAATAATAATGTTCTTCTTCCAGGAAAGTCTCACAAGAGGACCGTCATTGCGATGTTTGGCCCATTCCGTTATGTTTGGCTTGTGGGGGGAAACAAAAAAACAGAGTTCGCAGATGGCACACAAAGATCCGCACAGATGGATTCACTCCTTGACAGTACTGCCATCACATGGCCACCCCGCAAATCAAGCCGACTACACCTGGTATTCTAAACGAAATCTTCTATTCGAAAGCTAACCGGGCTCAAAGCCTGTTTAACTTTCTAAATCTGATGCGGCTGGGGCCTTATCAGATGAATTGGTCATTAGCCACGAGTTACGTAAGTTCATTGTGTAGTAATCAAAAATAAACTAACACTACATAGGAGTAAGCGAATCACAGCTGCATGGCGATGGGAGGAAATCATCCCACCCACCAGGAACTGGATAACGGCCAATGCCAATGAACTAAAACCCAGGAACATGATATTAAACACTCAACATGCAGCATCATCCAAGATAATGTACGAAAGGCGCAAACTCATACTACCAGGGTGTTATAAAGAGGTCAGAATGTTATCATACAGAGGAGCATTATATTCGCCATGTGCAATGCTACAATGTTGCACAACTATAGCACAGGCAGACCAACAGACACAGCCCTGATATACATTAAGACCATACAAGTAAAAAAAAAACTAATTATTAATTGCTTGGAGTATTACTGTTTATAAAATACACAACAAGACATAATTTCTCTACACACAAAAACAAATATTTCCATCAGCTCATTGGCTTTTCAGACCAACACAATCAGGAAACTATTGTTTTAAAGAGATGGATTTTAAACCAATTCCAACAATTTCTGGAACTGATGAGAAACTCGTAGAAATCCCATGGGCTGATGGACTCTGACCAAGTTTGTTCCCATTATTTTTTGCAATTGGAATACCCTTGAGGGAGGCACTGAGATGCCACTGACAGACAATACTCGTGTACTCAAGCAGGTCTTGATTAACATATAGATGCACCAATGATGCCACCAACATGTATTTGACAGCAGACATCGGCGAGAAGTTGACTGCCACACTAAAAAAAACTTGAATTTGAAACAACTGTTTTGAAACCACGGGCAATATGACAATATGTTCAATTACAATTTTATAAACCTTTACAATTTTAGGAATAATTATGCTTCCAGATATTGTAATTATATATACGCACAGTAAAGTATTCCATTAATCAAGAATCATCTTTGATGGATTGAACGTGCGGAGATAAGGCATGGATTCACGCTGGTAAGGTAATTAATAACACGAAGTTTCGAGAGGGAGGTGGGTTGAAAGGTAAACCTAGGTAGAGATAGATGATTATGATACGGTGAGAAATGTGTAAGCGTGGCTGGCGTCTGATAGCGAGGACCAACAATGCAAACCCAAAATTAATGCGAAATTCCGCGAAGAATAAGACGAAGAACAAGAAAAGTCTTAATTAAAGTCACAAATGTTACCTACACTATTTATAAAGCCTGACGCTAATTCATTGCTGCTGCTGCATGTGAAGAGAAGTGCAAGGCAGCGTGGTTAGTCAGAACTTACCCTCACTTGCGTCGGAGACGCTGGTTCACCCAGCCAACCTGAGCAACAATTGTCTCACGTCTGAGCAACACAGCAGCAATAGATCGATGCCTTATCCCCCAGCAACTTAGTCTCGTCCCACAACCCGTTCCAAGCAACTGTGCCGAGAGCCACACGGAGGGACAGACCACTGACCACCAGTTCTCTCCAGTTTCTGCCTCCTAAACAAATCCTATTACTGTTTATACATCACCACCACCACCCCCCCATGTTGGGGGACTTTCTGGTGGGAGGGGTTGTGTGTGAGGGGGGTCTGTGTGTGGTGGGGAGCGGTGGTGGAGCGGTTAGCGCCACGCTGCGTTACGAACCTGGCCACCCGGGTTCAATTCCCGCTCACGGCCAACACCGGTGACAATTATCTGAAGCGGTCCTGGGCCGCCCCTAGGTCGACTCAGCCTCAAATGAGTACCTGGTGCAATGTGTAAACATCGCTACTCGGGAGACAAAGGCGACCGGGCGTGGTGCTGGCCACCCACCCCCTCGTGTGCCGTGCCGGCCTTCATAGGTGCTCACTAACAGCACTTGCCCCAGCAGTCTGTTCAGGCTACACGGGGCATCTTTATCTTTGTTTTGCGTGTATGTGGTTTATTTTTTTTTATTCCCCGTATAGCCTTAGGAAAATGAATCCCACCTTTTGGGCAAGCATCCATCACACAGGCTGCTGCAGTTGTGATGTAAGTGCATTGTAGCTGAACATTAAACAAGGTTCATTCCATTATAGACTGACAAGCCACAGTGGAATTCACATTGAAGTGAAAATATGCCAGATTTTAAGGTGTGTACTGCTCTTAACATATCACACATACAGGGGGTCTTTAAAAGCAGAATTATTGTGTTCGGCTACTATAGTCATGCACCCGTCTCATCTGTTTCGATACATTTAGTTCCGATATAGGAATTCACATCGAGCTTGTTAGGCAATCCCTGAGTTCGATTCCCGTAACAATAAACATGTGGGGCAAATTATATCTGAACTGTTCTCCCTCGGCTCCATATGTCGCCATCACGCACTGACCAAGGCCTTCATCCAGCAGTGGATTAATGAAAGGCCGTTACATATTTGTGGACAGGAGTGGGTCGAAGCCAACTCGCTTAATTTAAAGGTAGAAAGAGTACTGTACGGTATATTGTATATTTGTTTTAAAGTACCTTTCCCTGTAAAATATAGACTACATTAAACGCAGCATCACTCAAGAGGTAGCCAGGGTACACAGGAGCTGATGGGTCAGTAAAATAAAATTGAATGAGCCCCATGCCCTGGCAAAAAAATCACAAACATGTTCATTGAATGTCACATGGGGTGTCGGATTGTATCCCTTATCCCAAATATTCCTGATACAACAATCTCAAGCAAATGCAACAATCGCAAGCAAATGCAACATTAAAATTGTAGCAGAGGTCTGGCAAGACAGCTTCGCATCACGTCCCTCTGTCACCCCTCCCGTGCTGGGATGGTGATTCAGTCTCTCAGCTTATACTGGTAGGAACCTCCTGGTTACACCAGCCCACAGGGGATTATTGTGTCCGTCGTGCAGGGAGAGGCTGGGTGTGGAGGGAGGGGCTGGGTGGGGAGGGGAGGGTGGGGAGGGGCTGGGTGGGGAGGGTGGGGCTGGGTGGGGCTGGGTGGGGAGGGGCTGGGTGGGGAGGGTGGGGCTGGGTCGGGGGTGGGAGGGGTTGGGCTCGGTGGGGAGGGGCTGGTCACCCCGTGGTGCCCTTATAAAACTCAAAGTTTAACCTACTCACGCCGACTTGTGCCCGCCCTCACAGTCGGGCATATTCGCGGAATACACCATGCCGCCGTTGACCCTGGACATTGACCGAGCAACCCAACGTGTTCCTACCAGCTCCCTCCGCAGGAATGTGTTATCCGTGTACTCACTGCAGCTAGCTTCGGTTATAGAACATTTACAATTATATCTTGGCTTAAAGCTTTCGTGACTGCAGGAATTCATAATCTTTGGGTCTTTCGTTAAAGAAATATATTTCTTCCTGCCTCAGCAGTCCGCCTGCTGTATTTTTTCACCTGAAGACGACTGCTTGTGTTGCGATCGAAACGTTGTGAATTTTTTTTTATCTACGTGACCTTACCGAAAGACCCATAGAGTATTTACAATTATAATTATCACCAGAAAATGAAGCCTACTTTCCCGAAGCGGTTACAATCACTTAGCCACGCGAGGAAACAATCCATCTCGCTCCCGCACACGAGATGTTTCCATCGCTCCATCTCCATGGATAATGTCCTCACGAGCATGGCATCGACATACCCAAGCCTCAAATACACTACTTGTACCACACTCAAACATGTTGTTGTGTACAGCCCTTTTTGTACATTCATTGCTTGTGGATAGGGGGTTTCCCTCCCCCCAAACGCTGCATCGGTGTGGGGGTTATTTGGCAATACTTCACACTGGTCTATGCGAATTGATGAAAGCGAGAATAGATAGACGTGGGAGTATAGCACAATACATTACGGTATTTGTTAATCTGATTGGATAGAACGGCTAGACTGGCTGACTCCGACAAAACTGAATTATACCAGGTCAAACCGGTTCTGGCATAATTAAACCGCAAATGTAGAATGTTTATTATTTTATATGAGTTTAATAATGCGTCTCTTTTTCGTTCAATCGCAACACATTTTAAAACACAGACCCTATGGATATTTAAACACATTCCTGCGGAGGGAGCTGGTAGGAACGTTGGGTTGCTCGGTCAATGGCCAGGGTCAACGGCGGCGTGGTGTATTCCGCAAATATGCCCGACTGTGAGGGCGGGCACAAGCCGGCGTGAGTAGGTTAAACGTTGAGTTTTATAAGGGCACCACGGGGTGACCAGCCCCTCCCCATCCAGCCCCTCCCCTCCCACCCCCCACCCAGCCCCTCCCCACCCAGCCCCTCCCACCCTCCCCACCCAGCCCCTCCCCTCCCTCTCCACCCAGCCCCTCCCTGCACGACGGACGGACGGACACAATAATCCCGTGGGCTGGTGGAACCAGTGGGTTCCTACCAGTATTACTTTCCAATAGTGTTCCGACTTACGAACAGGTCCCAGGAACGAATTGTGTTCGTTAGTCGATTATTATCCTGAATTAAATACCCCTTCACGCACAGTGCTGACCTTAATAGCGGTTTAATCCGGTCTGAACTGGTTCAAATCGGGTTTAATCCGGTTGGAACCTGTTCAACCCGATTTAGACCAGCTTAAACCGGTTATAACCGGATTGAACCGGTCTAAAGCGAGGAAAAGCTGTCTTCGTGTTTGCGTGTCCACAGCAGTCGATTAGCCTCGCACAATTGCAGCTCCCTTAATGGGTGTGAAGCGCCAGATTGTTGATTCTTCTCGTCGAGTCAACGCGCACTGCACTCACCTGACGTTGAGTAACAAAGGGAAACGTGTATAGAGGGTGATGGGTGTGATGGAGGTAATTGGGGAAACTTCTGTTTCGGATAATGAAATCGGTCGTGTCGTGGACACCACCTGTGGCCCCTAAGTGCAGCCTGCATGCTGTAATCACAGCACCACGTCGTTTTTCCAGCACTCTCTGCGAGATTGGTCAATGATGGCAGGGTTATCCGAATGGCTCCTCTCTCGCATGCTCTTCACCGCCATTTAAAGGGTGTCAGCAGTTATAACGCGCCCACCGATGTGGTGGTGGCCCTTAGTTTCTGTAAATGATCTTAAATGCTCTGTAAAGACTCTTTTGTGAAAGTGGTCTAAGTGGGATCCTGATTGTTGTCAGCCACAAGCCGAAATAGCTCAGTTGGGAGAGCGTTAGACTGAAGATCTAAAGGTCCCTGGTTCAATCCCGGGTTTCGGCAAGGGTATTATTTTTTTTCTGTAGTGTGTGCGTATATCTCCTGTCAGATATTTAAAGATCATATCTGACGCGTTTTATATATATATTTTTATTATCTTGTAAAAGAGTGGTGCAGTGATTTGTATACTGTTATATTCCGGCCTGTACAATTCACTGCACCACTCTTTCACAAGATAATAATAAATATTAATAAATATATAACGCGTCAGATATGATCTTTAAATATCTGACAGGAGATATACGCCCACACTACAGAAAAAAATAATCCCCTTACCGAAACCCGGGATTGAACCAGGGACAAGCCGAAATAGCTCAGTTGGGAGAGCGTTAGACTGAAGATCTAAAGGTCCCTGGTTCAATCCCGGGTTTCGGCAAGGTGAATATTTTTTTCTGTAGTGTGTGCGTATATCTCCTGTCAGATATTTAAATATCATATCTGACGCGTTATATATTTATTATTATTATGCCAGGCTCTTGTGAAAGAGTGTTGCAGTGATTTGTACACTGCGCTATGAACTATGTAACCTGAGTTCGATTCCCTGCCACGGTTATCTGAGCCACCAGTCCTGGTAACTCCAGCCGACACTCCCATCACCAATCTGCACTAACCAGTATGGTCGAATAATCCGGTAGTGGCCTCGGAATTCTCTGCAACCAACTTTTGATACGTTAAAACACGTTTTCAGAATTTTGCTGTCAATATTGTGCAATACATATTCAGACCTGGATCTATAAATACATGGGTACGACTCAAGTTGTGTTACCTTAGGTGGTACCAATTTCTGCTCTCGCCCATGGATTATTAACAATTAACAGCTGTATTTCGATTTAAAGCTTTCGTGACTGCAGGGATTCATATTCTCGGTTCTTTCGGTAAAGTCACGTAGAAGGGAGGTAATAAAATAATAAAAATAAAACATAATAAAATAATTCTCACGACGCTTCGGCCACAACGCAAGCAGCCGTCCTCAGGTGAAGGCGCTCTTCCCCCTCCAACCCAGCTTAAATATACGCTGCCAGGCCTGGTGGTGTTCATTCAGACGCTGTCTTTCCGACAGACCTGTTCTTCACCTGAGGACGGCTGCTTGCGTTGTGGCCGAAACGTCGTGAGAATTATTTTATTATGTTTTATTTTTATTATTTTATTACTTCCCTTCTACGTGACTTTACCGAAAGAACCAAGAAGATGAATCCCTGCAGTCACGAAAGCTTTAAATCGAAAGGTAACAGCTGTATTTTGAGTGACATAATTAATAAGCACATAGGCCATATCGCGTTTTGGTGACCTGTCACTTGAGTCGCGATTCGATGCAGT